AGTCTAGACCGATATACGACTTGAATGCCAAGGCACATTTTTTTTTGGCATATGGGCCCCTTCACCGTCATAGCTGAGTGAAATAATTTTGGTGTGCTGTGTTATTGTTTTTCGTGGAAATATCAGCATTGTTGCTTTTCGGAGGGTTCCCTAAAGTGTCAAGTCCATTGATAAGTTGGTTTCCTTTGACCGTCCCAGGCTTGTACGTGGTGCCGACGACCCCAAGAACGCAAAGAAGTATGTGGCGAAAGCCCGCCGTGCAGTGACCATGACTGCTGCGGCCCAGGCCTGGAGTGCTGGAGTACCTTGGGCTGAGGCTCTAGAGATCGCCGAAGCTGCAATTTCCAAAGCTTGCCCCAAACCGAAAGCTTTCCCAAAGCGGCAAGCGAAAGCAAAGGCAAAGGCCCGGTCAAGTTGACATTGCAAATTTCTGTCACAATGTTCAACAGGTTTTACATGGTTTTCATTGACCATTTCAAGTTTCGGCCGGGCCTGCGTCCTTTCAGACTGTGGCAGCCATTATCAAACACTTGAGATTAGCATCGCGGGGCCAAATCCATCACCAAGTCATTATTTTTTTAACTTTTGACATGGTGTCAAATCCAACCTGGGTTTTGACACCAAGTGCTTCTTTTGTTCTGTTTTGAATGGTTGACATTGGATTGATGTGTGCTGATTTGTCTGAAACCTGGCTGTTGGTGTCGTTTTGGAGGTCCGATTTGACACCAATTCAAGCTTTGACATTCGAACCACTTGGTGTCTTAAAGGCACTCTTCAAAGAGTGATTTGTCAACCCTCCAAAATCTTTTTTCGAATACAAAGTGTCTGATTGGGGTGCCATTTGACACTAAGGATTGCTTTTTGCAAAAACAACAAAGTTTTGCAACCCTAAACCCTGAACTAGTTGGCTTTAAAATTAAAAATCCGCGAGAGTTCCTAGTAGGGAGGGTCGCTTGCAACGAAGTCATTGGTACTTTAGTGTCTGATGGGGGTGCCATTTGACACTAAGGATGGCTTTTGAAAAACAAAGTTTTGCAACCGGGTAACCCTAAACCCTAAACTAGTTGGCTTTAAAATTAAAAATCCGCGAGAGTTCCTAGTAGGGAGGGTCGCTTGCGATGAAGTCATTGGTACTTTAGTGTCTGATGGGGGTGCCATTTGACACTAAGGATGGCTTTTGAAAAACAAAGTTTTGCAACCGGGTAACCCTAAACCCTAAACTAGTTGGCTTTAAAATTAAAAATCCGCGAGGGTTCCTAGTAGGGAGGGTCGCTTGCGATGAAGTCATTGGTACTTTAGTGTCTGATGGGGGTGCCATTTGACACTAAGGATGGCTTTTGAAAAACAAAGTTTTGCAACCCTAAACCCTAAACTAGTTGGCTTTAAAATTAAAAATCCGCGAGAGTTCCTAGTAGGGAGGGTCGCTTGCGATGAAGTCATTGGTACATTAGTGTCTGACGGGGGTGCCATTTGACACTAAGGATGGCTTTTGAAAAACAACAAAGTTTTGCAACCCTAAACCCTAAACTATTTGGCTTTAAAATCAAAAATTCGCGAGAGTTCCTAGTAGGAAGAGTTGCTTGCGATGAAGTCACTGGTACATTAGTGTCTGACGGGGGTGCCATTTGACACTAAGGATGGCTTTTGAAAAACAACAAAGTTTTGCAACCCTAAACCCTAAACTATTTGGCTTTAAAATCCAAAATTCGCGAGACTTCCTAGTAGGAAGGGTCGCTTGCGATGAAGTCATTGGTACTTTAGTGTCTGATGGGGGTGCCATTTGACACTAACGACCACTTACGAAATTACAAAGCATAGTTTTGTAACCCCAAGCCATAGATTAGTTGCCATTGGGTTAGTGCCAAATGGGGGTCGGATCCGAGACTAACTTTGCTTTGCAGGTGATGTAAATGCCTAGTTAGTGTCGAATGCGGGTCGGATCCGACACTAACTCTGCTTTGCAAGTGATGTAAATGCCTAGTTAGTGTCGAATGCGGGTCGGATCCGACACTAACTCTGCTTTGCAGGTGATGTAAATGCCTAGTTAGTGTCGAATGCGGGTTGGATCCGACACTAAGTTTGTTTTGCAGGTGATGCAAATGCCTAGTTAGTGTCGAACGCGGGTTGGATCCGACACTAACTTTGCTTTGCAGGTGATGCAAATGTCTAGTTAGTGTCGAATGCGGGTCGGATCCGACACTAACTTTGCTTTGCAGGTGATGCAAATGCCTAGTTAGTGTCGAACGCGGGTCGAATCCGACAATAACTTTGCTTCGCAATGCAAATGCCCAGTTAAATGTCGAATCTGGGTTGGATTTAAGCAGGTGATGTAAATGCCTAGTTAGTATCGAATGCTGGTCGGATCCGATGTAAATGCCTGGCTAGTCACTTATATACTTAGTGGTGAATGTGGGTCGGATCGTCAGTTTTCTCTACTACGCAGGTCATGTAAATGCTTATAAAAAGTGTTGAATGCCGGTCGGATCGACACTAACAGGTGATGAATGTCATAAGCTGACCACTAGTTAGCGTAAAAAATCCCCACAATTTGCTTTGCTTTGCTTTGCATTGCATTAAACCAGAGAATTTAGTATAAAGTATAGTTACTGTAGGCTACTAAGTGTCGAATTGGGGCCCAATCCGATGCTAACCACTATTCTGTTTCAATGTGTTGTGAGCAACCAGCTGGTCTTAGTCTGATCTAGTACTGGCAGGTAAGGTCCCGTTATTGTGGCAGTGTCCTTGCACGTGTTTCACATAAAATATATTGCCAATATGTAGCGTGGAAAACGGGGCGGATTCAAAGTCTTTGCTTCGTGACATTTCAAATGTTTGCCATGGATGTGGCCTTGTGCAAAAAAGAAAAGAACCTGATCTCATTTCTCGGCCAAGGGGAGCTTGGCTGCAAAAATTAGAGGCGGGCAGTTGCCTGACAAAGATGTCAGCGTTCAGTTTTTGGTGCCCCCTTGCTATCTTGATGTGTGTCACGCGTCCCCTTCCTCAGTCGCAGGTGTGCGTATTTGGCTGGCAGGTTCACTGAGATTTCTCGGGGGAAAAAAAGCAGACATAAACTTGTGCCTCCACTTTGGATAATGATTGTACCCACAATTGAAATTGTGAGTTTCGAGCTTGTGTGGGGTGGTGTCATGTCTTATGGCCGTGGTGGATGTTACGATTTGTGGGCTGGCCACAGCTGCGCTCAAAGCTCCAGGTCAGCAGTGTAGGTTTGAATAGAGATGTCGCATCTTGGACCTGAGCCTGTGTCAGCCAGGGCCGATCTTGGACCCGAACCTGAGTCAGCTGGACCCGGGTCATGTGTGATCCAGTGCAGCCGGGAAATCGATGGCTCTTTCCAGGTCCGGTGTTTCCAGCCAGACAGAAGCTGGGTGGCTACTTGCTTGTCCTTCATGAACCTCCCAGATGCTGTCATGGTGCGCTACCACAAGCTTTCGACCATGGACATTCCTGCAATTGGGAGCACCATTGTGATGATGGGGCCGCAGAAGGGAGAAAGTGGTCGTCGCTATGGGCCCTTTGGTCTTGGAATTTATGCCTTTATCCCATGTTTTCCCATCATGGAGGATGTACAGCAACTACTTTCACGCTTTTTGTTTGAAGCTTGGTTGGTTCTCAGGTTTCTGTTCCGCGACTACTATTTCAACATGGGCGGCGAGATTGTCACTGACAACGTGGAGCGGGAGGATGGCCTTCCCAACTTTGTGGATGGGTGCAAGGTGTATGGGGACAACTACAATTTGGAAGCCAACCTTATTGTGTTCGTCCTGGACTTGAGCTTGAGCTGCAGGGATGAGCCAAGGTTTGAGCTGAAGGATTTCAGCTTGTCACTTGTCATAATTACTTGGTGGACCTCAATGTTGGATTTGATTTGCAGCTGCCGTTCTTGAGACTTGGTTGTGAAGTATGTGCCATCAAAGGCCTTGCCCGGCAGAATCTCCTGAAAGTCAGCATCGTTGCATCCTCTATCGAGTGTGCGAGGAGAAGTTCGTTGTGCTCAGGCATTTCTTGGAGTGTCTTGGCTTGATTTTGGCAGTGCTAGATTCCCTTGGAGTGCTTAGCTGCAGCCGGTCGGTTCCCCGGTGTTGTTTTTTGCTGTCATTAGGCTTCAACCAGAGACTTGAGATCGAGCTTGACAAGGTTTTTCCGGCAGACCAAAGTTGTTTATGTAGGGCCATGCGGGAAGCTGCGTGGCTTTTTGAAAAATATTGAGAGAGTGAGTTGCAGATGGCTGAGGGTCATGCAGGAAAATTCGTGGTTTTTGACAAAGAGAGAAAGAGGCTGATGTTATCATATTGCCTGTCCAGACGTGGAGCTGATTGGCAACTGGCGTGGCAAAATAATAGGGTCCAGCAAAGTTGCAGACTACATTCAAGTCCCTGTGCCTGCTGCCAAACAAATGACTGCTTTGCAGATCTGTCAAGTTGACTTGAATAACTAATGTCGTGGAATGTGCGATTTTGTTTGTGAGCTTGGTGAAGGACACTAGTGGCCAAACATGTTACCTGCATGTTGGGTGTTGTATGCCCTTCCACCTGTCTTCCCAAGTCTTTTTAAAGTGCCTTCTTTCAATCTTGTTTTCTCCTGTCTCGTCTCATCCTCCCTCTCCCCCCCTCCCTCCCTCTCTCTCTCTAACTCTATCTGTTCTCTCTCTCTCTCTCTCTGTTCTCTCTCTCTCTCTCTTTCTCTCTCTCTCTCTCTCTCTTTCTTTCCTTTCTTTCTTTCTTTTCTTTTCTTTTCTTTTCTTTTCTTTTCTTTTCTTTCTTTCTTTCTTTCTTTATTTCTTTCTTTCTTTCTTTTCGATTGCCATCTACTGTTCGTTGCCCTGCATTCCGGAAATTGTTTTCTGACCGTCAGGCTTTGGCAGCAGCTTCATTTTATTTCACAGTGTTGCAACTTGAGTGAATGGCTCAAATTCAAAAACAAGGAACGACATCATCCTGTTCCAAGATTTTCTTTGAATGATGGCTGTCCGTGCTGTCCCCATGGGCCAGTTGACTGACCAGGACCTGTTATTCTTCAAGCCGTTGTGTGCTAGCTATCACGAGGACTTTGAGAATGTGAAGAACGCCTGTGTCAACATCATAACTGTATGCGGGGGCTATCCCTTGGGCGAAGGTTTGTTGGATATGGCAGTTGCCATCACCCAGAGCAAAGCCATGGTTGACTCCAACAGCAATGTGCCAGACCGCAGGATCAGTGCAGACAACGTTTGCGTGGTGCAACAATGGAAGCTGGGCTTTGACCAACTTAGCCACTTGAACCCTGAGAAGAAAGCCCACTTGAAGCAAGAGGTGCAAAAGGCAGTAGCCTTGCTTTCTTCCTTCATTTTACAGGAAGATGATGACACGCCGGATGGTCTTTTCGAGACTTGGTGCGATGCGCATGAGGCCTTAAAGGAGGCCTTGAAGTTTTTACAGTGAGCCATCACGGCAAAGGAGTGAATCCGCGCCACTTGCAGCGCTTCCGGGAACACAGCATAAAAATTGAGAAAGAGAGCTGCCAACACTTCAGTAGCTATCAAGCAGTGAGTAGCTTAGCTGTCATCAAACACGGATGAAACCTGGCCCTCATGACATCATTTTCTGCGTTTGACAGTTGATGTCCTAGGGACGTGGTCTTGCAACTCAAGGATTGTTGGCAAGTCAGCCTCCCTGAGTGTGACGGTTGAGTACTGTAGTCGTTTTTTTCTTTCAAGGCAGCGCATCAGTTGCTTTTCTGCTTCATGCCGCCTGCCAAGAGGAAGTCAGCAGGTGGCGAACAAGGCAGTTCCAAGGGCGCAAGGTTGACCAACAGCATCAAGCAGATCGCGCCGGCCAGGGTGACTTGCCCAGCTCTTGACAAGGTTACAGAATGGCTTCTGGGCTCTGATTCGATTTTGGTCATTCGTTCTGTTGTTCGCAGTTTGGTCATTCTTGATATTGGTCGCCCAATGTCTCATCTGAATGTGTTTGAGGCAAGTTGGAAATGACTGGCGGTCTAAGGTTCAGGTCAAAGGTGCTGCCGGCTGGCGGTGTGTGCAAGTACTTGTCCGGGCAGTTTGACACACAGGCCATCACTTGGCATGTCAACTCGTTTCTCTGGTGACAGTTTTCATCCATAGTCCCCATGGTTTCCTTTGTTGGCAGGAAAAGCTCTTGGAATTTGCGACGTTCATCAACGAGAAATTCCCCGCCGATCCCAAGTGCTTTGCATGCTAAGAGTTGCAGCTTCTTCCTGGCAACAAAAGAGTTTCGGATTCTTTCCTTTCTGACATGCAACCATTGTGAAGTTTAATGTTCAGCGCTAAGGTGTGAGTATGCAACCGAAGTGGTTCCGGGGCCTTGCCAGGTCCGGCCTTGGAACCTTGGTTTTAGGCCGGACTTTGGCTTCAGTGGGTACTGTGAGCCGGAGGAGGCTGAGTTCCTTCTGCAGCTTATATTCACAGAGGGGTTTGGCACCCAGATTTTCCGAGTTCTGATGCAACGATTATACTATATATATGTAACGTATGCGCACTGTCTGGATCAATCCTTTCAAATTGTAAGTCAGTGCTTCTGTTATGAAGTTGAACCCAGGTTTCGGTCAAATGCAGAGGCTCTTCCCGGTGTAGAACGCATTGCCGTCATGGAGCCAGATCGCACGATGTTGGAAACCAACTACGATCCTTGCCCTCCGTTGCATCCTGGAGGTTAGTCGTCGTGGTCATTGTCGTCATGAACATGGTAAATCTATATAGACTATGATGATGTAACCAAGTGTTTGGCAGCAGTGAAGCAACTTTGTTGTTGGAATCAAAGGTTTGGACAAAACCTGGCAGCAGGTTCTGATCTTCTGAAGCCTTTTAGCCTGGCCTACACAAAGGGGTGGCGCAGATCGACCACTTTGCTCATCATTTTGGCCGGCGTTAAAGATTTGGAGATGGATCTGGAAGAGCTGCCCGCAGTGTTCAAGGATTGGGTTTTGCAATGAGTTGTCAATGCCTGAGAATTTCAAAGCCTTGTTGGCTCCATGTCTTTGTTTACCTGCTGCATTGTTGTGTCAATAAATTCCGGATGGATCCGATCTTGCGAAGGCCTCGGTCAAGACGATATACTGTGTGGTGGGCCGGTACTCCACTTTAGCAGAGGCGGTGCTGGCCAACAGGGGGATTACCATGTCAAGTGCAGGGACGCGTCGTATGCCGAACGCATTCAACTTCATTCGGCAATGTGATGTCCTTTCACGAGCCGGATACGGGAACTCAACCCAACAGTTCGAGGACCACGAATTGGTGTTGACCAGTATCCGCATGGTCCATCTTTGACCAATGGACCCAGAAGTTTTGTGTTCCACAATACTGACTAATTACTAAGCATCCCCCAAACAGAGTGTCCACACTGAGGGGTTCAGCGGTAGGGTAAAGGCCAGTTTTAGAACAGGGTGCTCCGCGGCTTTTTTGCCGTAAATTATCTGCTCTTCTGCGATGCCCATGTGCGTTTTGATTGCGCAGGCTTGCACAAAGTCTGCGCCGTGACTTTGGGCCCCGGCATTCTCGTGCAGTTTGGCTGACTAAGATTCTTCTGACATGTCCGTTTACTGCACCGGATCGTGCAAAACGTAGGCCTAGGCCCCGGCATTTATGCTGAGAATTTTTGCCAAAAAAATTGTGCGTGCGATCTTGGACCCTCGCATTTTTAGCGGCAATTCTCGCAAAAAAAGTTTCTTGTGGATTTCGACTGCGCAAGCCGCAAGCTCCCACAAAGCGATCCTGATGGCATCCTCTAAGTAAGGAGATCCTGGTGAAGCCGGTGAAGCCCTTTCTTGTACAGGTCCTTGCGGCAAGATCTTGTGAAGATCCTGCTGATTCCTCTAAGAGGTCCTTGTGCGACCTTGCGCAGATCCTTCTGAGGAGAACTTGTGAAGATCCTGCTGAATCCTCTAAGAGGTCCTTGCGTGACCTTGTACAGATCCTTGTGCGGAGTCTTGTGGAGACTCTGCTGCAGTCCTCTTTGAGAGGTCTTTGCATAATCTGGTACAGGTCCTTGTGAGAAGATCTTGTGGAGATCCTGGTGGCATCCTCGCAGAGGAGTAGTCCTATGAGATCCTTATAATATTCTGAGAAGATCTTCTAAAGGTCCTCTCTAAGAGGTCCTTGCATGACCTTGTGCAGTGAGAGGTCCTTGTGAGAAGATCTTGCAGAGATCCTGCTTTGGAGGTGCTTGTCTACTAAGTAGTTTCATTAAATTCTTCTGGGATGCCCATAGTTCTTGTATGAAGGTCTTCAACTATTAAATAGGAAGTTCATTGACGATCTTGTGAAATTCTCGTGGATGTCCTGGTATTGGTCTCAGGTCCTACACATAGATAGAAGCCTCTTGTGCCAAAACAACTTCCTGCTGCTGCAGTTACGAAAGTGTCATTAACCTGACACTGATTTGCCGTGTATTTAAAGAAATGGCTTCCTATACCCTCCACACTGTTTGGGGCCTCTTGCTGGTGCAATTTTGATGAGTGCCCAACGGTTAATCCCAGCCAATCATAATACTTTAATATGAGCTTTGTAATTCGTTGTACGAGATAAATTATTTCCATAATTTATCAGCCCCATGTTGAGTTTGACAAGCACATGATTTCATGATTTTATTGTGGAGGATTGGGAAAACGCTAGCGCTGTTGCGCGAGTTTTCAACATTGGTCGGGCAGAAGCTGGAGCGGTGTCAGCCTTGCAGTCCAAGATTCACCCTGAGGTGACCAGAATGCTGAAGGCCGCTGTTGCCATGCGTGGCATGAGGACCTTCATAACTCATGATTTGATTCACAAGGGGGCCTTCAACGAGGGCTTTACAAGTGGGCAGGGTTCAACTGAAGCGTGGGCTCAAGAGTTCACCAATGGCCACGGCCAACAGCTGGTGTCATGGCTGCCGTGAGGTAGTTTGTATTCGTTTGGTATGATATATTTCCCATTACGTTCAACTCTTTTGTGTTCAAGCTTCCGAGTCATTCAGGTGAAGTTGTTTGTCCAGCGCATTTGCGATGATTGGGATCGAACTCCCACGAACATGCAGAAGGCCTTGGCGTACAAGGAAGCGTGCAATCTCCACATTGCTTGTGGTCTGTTCTTGCATTACTTGGAGTGTTTGCAGAAGAGGTGTCCAGCGATGGAGTTTCCTGCTATCCAAATCAAGTTGGAGGAATCATTCATGAGCGGTTTGATGGACGGAGAATTAGTTTCAAGTGCCGAGAACAACGTCCCCCCTGGTGACATTTGCAGTGTTCAGCAGTTCAGGAGAGGGTGTCTGTGATTGCAGGGGCAATTTTTTTGGACAATATTCAGAGTTAAATAATTTTTTTCACTTGACAAAGCCGTTGTTTTGACGCAGGGCGCACGTCAACAACTTTGAGGCGCGGATGGCTTCTGAGGCTGAGGAGCGCAGCAAGGAGCTGGAGGCCAAGGTGGAGAAAGCCACTTTTGAGCAAATTGAGTCCCAGCTCCAGGCCGATCTTTGCTTGCTAAGGGAGAAACTGCCGGGCAAGGTGTGCCAAGCTGTCGAAACTGCCTTGGACATGAAGTATGTCAGGGACAGGCAACGGATCTTCGGATTTACCCAGAAGTGTTTTATATTGTTTGCCTTCAGTTTTGCCCCTGCGGGTGCCATGGCCATGGGCCAGTTCTTAATCGAGAAGTTGCTCGAACGATTTTGTCAAAAAACGACATGGCCTGCAGGATCAATCGGGACATCCAAGGGCTTGTACAACCCATCAATTGTCAATCAACCCTGAAGAGATCTGACACCTTCCTTGTAGGCAATAGCTTGACAACCTGGGCCAGTCTCATTTAGGGTTATTGCGGAACTCCTTCAAAAAATCCCCTGCTGCGGCAGTGCAGAAAACTGAGGATTTTCCCAGCATGCCAATGATTTCAGCGTGTTCGAAGATTTCTTCTAAATCTAATCCACTTGCCGCTATAATATGATACGCTGTTGCTTTGCACGAGGCGTGTATTCCAAGTTTGAGGATGCTGTGCTTCTCAACTGTGCGTGCCTGCAAAAGGCCAAGAAGGGTCACCCCATATTCCCGAGCATTACTCATTGCATGCGATAGAGGCGCAGAATTCAAAGTTGAATAATAACAATAATAATGCCCTAGAATCACAACAACCAAGGGTAACCCCAAAACTCTTAACCCTGAAATCTCTCAACCCTCAATCCCTTTTTATGTACTGTCAAAAATCTTGTAACTCTTGATTGTAAAATCATTCAGCCCTCAAACCCTTTAATACAATTTAGTCTTATTAACCCGAAAATCATTCAACCCCAATACATTTCACCCCTTATTAACCCTAAAATAATTCAACCCTCAAACCCTTTATAATTTGTTATTTAATTTTGCGCCAAATCGTGTTTATTTGTAAAAACTTTTCACTGCTAGGCGGGCCCAAAACATTTCTCCACCATGCCTTAAAGTGTTTATTTTGTTTGCGGTTGGCGCTGTGGTGGCCACGCAAAGGACTGGGGAACAATTTGTCAAAGACTGGTTGGAGCAGAATTGCCAGCTGAGTTTTGTTGACGAGAAAGGGCCGATTGCGTTGACCGATTTCACCAAGTTCCTTGCGAGCAAGAGGTGTGAAGGGCAGCTGCAACTCGTCGATTTTTCTTTGGTTTATTATTTTCATTTTTTTGGTTTCTCCTCAAATCCTTCCAGTCAGTGCCAGAATGCAAAGTGCTCAGGTATGTGATTTCCGCCATCGATGCCACGCTGTGGGCAGGAGAAGCGGTCACAGATGCTGTGACGAAGCTCGCCACTGTCGTGGCGATGAGTTCCTGCAATGTTGGCCACATCCAGCTGCCAGTCTAACATGCTTCAACATCACTGAGCGCGACAGTGAAGCACACTCGGAAAATTCAAGATTTACTCCTGAGTGCAGATTTAGATTTCTCCACCAACCTGACGCTGACCTTCAGCAAAGATTCTTCAACAACGCGAATTAGTGACAGGCGTTTGGTCACGCAAAGCTGTGCGCTGGTGACAGGTGGGAAATCCAGGTCTGCCAACAAGTGGGTTGAATCAGAATGCTTTCAATCAGGTGTGATTGGGCCTCTGCCACTCATACCTGTCAGCGAGATGCAGAGCTACGATGTGGACAACAAACCAGCACCAGGCCAACGAGTTGCTGAGAGCCTTTGGCCTGTTTGACGGTCATGTCACCTTTTAAAAGCGGTTGTTTTTTTTCCAATTCCCTTGGCTTGAAGCCTCCGATGTTTAAAAGCTAAGGAAAGGCATTCCGTGCCACCGGAAGCTGATCCAGGCCTACCTGTCAGGCATGAACTTTGAGGAAAAGGATATGGTCGTTTTCCTTGACCTTGTGCCGAACCAGTGCCTTGCTCCCGATTTTTCCCAGAATTGTTCGTTGTTTTGATTTGCTGGGTCTCGGGACAAGAAAAACAATTGTAGTCCAAGTCACTCAATTTGACCCTGTTGTTTTATCATACAAGGTCAATTGGTAGATAATCATATGGAAGGGTCAATTGGCCATTGATTGCAGGGTCACTAAGATTGTCAAAGAGGTCATTAGCCATCCTTAAGATCCGTCAGGTCTGATTTCCAAGCTTTGAAAAAGATATGTTTGGGATGAAAATAGCATGTTGACCCCAGGCCGCTTTTTTTTGACACACTTTGACATGCATTGACACGCACCACGGCAAAAATACTCCGAACTGCTAAGTGACATTTTTATATGCTAAGTGACCTGTTTCTCGTTACTCCCCACCCTTTGATGACACGCTCAAGACGCGCTTGACATGCATGAAAAAGAGGCAATCGCAATCCAAGTCCTCAACTACACTTAGCGTAAAACCTTTATCGAGGCTCCGTACAAGAAAACGTCATTGTTGGCAAACCGGCATGTCAAATAAGTGGCATTTTTGGGTCTAAGTGACCGTAAACTCCTGTCTCACTGTTTGTCAAAGCCACGAAGCCAGGTTTGTTGAGTTTGGCAGAGCTTGTGTGCAACGTGTGCTAGAAGGTGAAACCAGACCGCCCATCGTGTACTACGGCATGCTGAAGAAAGATTTGCACAAGTCAGTGGTTACGAGCATCGAGAGCGAAATCTTTTCTTACTGGGATTCTCTTCCGGATTCTCCTGCGAAGACACGTCCTCGAGAGGCTTCTGCATTCAGTGGAATTTCCGGGCTCAAGTTGATGAGCTGCGACAGCACTGGACGGCCTGGCTTTCCAGATCATGTCTTTGGCAAGTTCAAAGCAGGGAGTGAGCATCGGAAGCAGCTTGAAAAGATGAAGGCGGATTTTGCGGAGGAATTTGCTTCCACAATTTCTCAGCCGGTGTCTGGTGGCCGTACTGTGGCCAGGGTGGCCGGATCTCCCGATTTCACAGTGGATGGGGTAGAACCACTGGATGTGAACCGTGTGGTGGACTTGCAAAAGGTGTCCCCACCAGAAGCTGCTCAGAGGCTAGGCGATTTTGAGCTGCTTTTAGGTTGTGATGATTTCAGGGTCCCCGAACAGTAAAAAATATAAGTATAGTGAGCTTCCACATGATGTTGCCAAGTATTATCCTGATCCTGTGAGACCCGGCCCGGATTGCTGGTCGAATTTGTGATGAAAAAGCCACTTTACATTTTTAGATATTATGCATAGGGCGAGATGGCCTTGCAATTTTTTGACGGCCCTGCCAGGGGATAGGGTGCCTCCATTTTAGAAAGAGAGAGAGAGAGTGAGAGAGAGAGAGAGAGAGGGAGGGAGGGAGGGAGGGATGGAGGGAGGGAGGGAGATTGATTCAGATAGAAAAAGATAGAGAAGAAGATAAAGAGAGAACGAGAGACAGAGAGACAAGGAGAGAGAGAGAGAGTTAGAAAAAGAACGTACACGCCCGCACCAGCATCACCTCAACATGTTTGCCAGCTCTCTGGCACTGGGCTTCCAAGGACCTTATTTGTTTAGAATGTCAGGAGTCGTTACTGAAAATTATGGAAATGCCAGAGGAATGCCTAATATTAACTTTGTTTTTGATGCAGGATAGAAAAATCCGGATCACGCAAAGTAGAGCTATTTACTTCCAGCAATCCACATGTGGACAGCAAGCGATCAAACTGTCGCATGAAAGGCAAAACTTAGATGAATATCATCCTGTTTCCCAGGAATCACAACTGTCATGTGCTGCTTCTCCCTGACGAGGTTGGCAACCATCACAGGGAAAAATGGCAAACCATCCATCATTGTGGACACTGACATGAACATCTTCATTGGCAATGAAGTGCAAGACACGCTCGAAATTAGTGGCTGTGAATTGTTCGGTTTTAATACCGGCAATTTCGACACGAAGATTTGCGATGGTGACAAGAGGCATGCGGCGGGCATAGCCTGGCGTGTGAACACCGACCTCGACTTGGTGTCGGACGCTAAGACTTTGCGTCCGGTATGTGGCCTCTTGCACAAATTCGCAAGCACGATGGGCCTTGCCGATGTGAGCATCCCTGACCATGTCATCTCTCCGAAGTTACACCCACCAGTCGCTTGGATGCCAGTTCTTGCTCTTGGTTCTGCAAGTTTCGATGTTTGATCAGGATTTGGGGTCTAGCTAGTTTTCGCACGCCCATGCGTGTGCATCCAGCCAGACACAAGAAAACAGTTCAAGTCAAAATGTCCACGACCGACAGATAGAATGCTCAGAGATTAATTCAGGTTTAATCGTATTCAATTCTAACCTAAATTTGACTTGAATCACACAGAATGTCAGGGGGGGCACAATTTGTTGTTTTGGAGTCTTCTTTCTGAGGCACCTGGCCAGGAAGCCGTTCCTGTGGCTTTTCGGTACAACATTGAAGCAGCTCGCTCCAGAAGCACAAACGTGTTCCGCCCGAATGTGCTCCAAGGAGAGCCGAGAGCGGCTTCGTTGGGGGCGCTGTGGATCGGGAAGTTCGAGAAGTTGCCTTCCTCCGAGCTGGTTGATATCGTTTGGGAGGCACCAGAAAGCAGTCGCCGCGTTTTTTGGTCCCATGAGTTGCTTGTCATTGTATGTCTTAAAGCATAGGTATTTCACATTTGGCTTTTGAGACGGCGCAGCTTTTTTGGGTTTGAGTGGCAGGTCCAGTTGCAAGGAACTGCGCTCACCCCGATGAAGCCGAAGGTTTTTTTGACATGCACCATGGTGCTGGGCCGTGATGAGTGGGTGAAGCTCGACTAGTATCTTGGGAGGCCTTTGCCCTGGGAGGTCGATGTCTTGACAACTTTACAAGGTTTTTTTGTTGCTTGAAACTTGGGAGATCTCTGGGCAGTTGCGAAACCGTGCCACGCAGGAGGTTGATGTCTCCAAACATATGTAGGAGTTTTCAGAGCGGCATTTGGCTGAACAAATATGTGCTTGAAACTTGAAAGACCTCTGGGCCTTAGCGAAGCCTTGGCGCACAGGGGGTCGATGCCTTGAATCCTAGGAGCCATTAAAGCGGTGTTTTGCTTTAAAGTGAGAAACCTCCTAGCCGGCTATGCGCTTGAAGCCTGACACTGACTCATCGTTGAGTCTGAGCCAGACAGGCTCAAGCCATTGGGCCTGAGTGCAACATTTAGTTTCGGGTTTATCCAACCACCCCCATATAGCTCTGATTTTGATGTCACAGGGGCAAAGACGAGCAAGCACTATGATCAGGCCCAATTGGCGACGTTTTTGATTTTCGGCAGCTGGCAGTTCCGACAGCAAGACGGTCGGAAAAAATGTTAAACATTCTTTGAACATTGAAGAATGCCTTCGATTTTTTCGGATTCGGTGAATGGCCAGCTTACGGAGTCTCATCAAAACTTGTTTCTGTGTGGGCTGCCTTTGGGCTATTTGCAGGAAGCTCTCGCGTCTGATTCTTGTGTGAGCGTCTGCTGCCGCCACCGCATCATGCCTGTCTTTACTTTTGCGCCCGTGGACGCGCTGTCTGAATCAGAAGCAGAAGGAGAAGATCCTCCGGGTCAAGCTTCGGATGCCAAACCCAGTCCAAAGGCAGCCACTAAACCGAAGTCCACGCCGAAGGCGGCTAAAGCCGCGCCCAAGAAGAAGGCCAAAGCGAAGGCTAAGGCAAAAGGTAAAGGAAAAGCCAAGCCTGGTGGAAAGGCGCCGAAAGAGCCAGAGGTTGCCAGCTCTACCGCTGGCGCTGACCCGGAAGAGCCAGAGGTTGCCAGCCATGCTGATGGCGCTGAGCCGGAAGAGCCAGAGGTTGCCAGCCACGCTGATGGCGCTGAGCCTGGAGAGTCGGTTGATAAGAAGTTGCATGCTAGCAAGAAGGCCGGTGAAGAATGAAACGGCAGCCAGTCTGGTGTTTGGACCGGGATTCGTAGCCGAATTTGTTTGATTGACATTGTGATTTTGCCAGGCATTGAAACGCCCGGCAGCTGCTCCTCAGCCTTCGTCGGCAATCAAGCGCCCTGCTAGCGCTGTCCCAGGCTGATGGTTTCTGGCTGTCTGACTGCCCTTGTCGCTGTTAGTTTGCTGCTGCTCTTCAAATTGTTTTCAACCTCTGCTTAGTATCCTTTGGGTGCCGGCTTGTCATGCAAGGCTTGGATGTGAGCCAGCCCTACTATGACTGCAGATCTGAGAAGTGGGGTTTGCGGATCGGTGGAAAGCAATCGATCTTGGCAGCTTGCCAGAGAAGCAATGCTTTTTTTTTTGCGATACGCTGAGATTGCTGAGCAAAATAAAGAGCCGAGGTGGGCGGCAAAGGTTTTGATCGCCAGAAGACCAGAGAAATAACGGTTTGTTCCTCAGCCGGCCGGCTGCGCAGTGTGACAGCCAGTACGTCAGTTGCGTGTCGAAATTTGAGTACGGATCGGATTTGAAATTAGTTGATTCAGGTGGTTTGCCGCGAGCACCTGTTGAAGGGAGATTCTTTGGACGATGTCAAGCAGATGAAGGCTGACTTTTGGCCATTATGAGTCATGCATGAGTCATGCATTCAAAAAAATGATTCCAAGTAGTAAGCACCAATCAGTCCAGGAGCTGTATGAAATCGGATTGATTTTTTTTTGGCATCATCATGTCTGCTGCAGGACGCAATGCTGACAGCGCTCGGGACGGTCAATACCAGCAAAGGTGCGCCTTCACCCCGCAATGTGTTTTCAAGGATTGAGCATGTCGTAGGGTTTTGCAATGCAGTGCTGTGAGGCGATGATGGCTCGAAGAAGGATGAGGACAATAAGGAAACTGAGGACCAGGAAACTGAGGACAAGGAAACGGTCGCAGAAGCTCCTGAGGTGGCAGCAGCAGCTGCAGAATGTGAGGATGTGGAAGAGCATGGCGAAGAAGAACTTGCTGAGGAGGATGTTGAAGCCCAAGACGTTGATTAGATGTCTCACCGCAGAGTCGAAGAGATGCTGAGGTCCAAAAAAAATTCTTTGTGCGAATCGCACGGTGTCGTGATTGAGACTTGAAACCTGGAGTTTTGTGTTGACGGTTGTGGGAGAGAAAGCTTCGGAGCTCCGATTGTAGGTTCGTTTTTCGATTTGTCAAGTACAGTGTCTGCGAGGCCAACATCCTCGCTTTAAAGCCCGCATGCGTGTTTTTGTGGAGCATGATTATGTCCATGGTAATGTCTAATTCCAACCTAAAGCGTAACTTTCACCACGCTTTGCATCACGCGGTAGGCGCTATCTGTTATGTGTTGGGGTTTTAATTTTATTTTTAAGCCCCCCCCAATAGGAAAGACTTTTTTCAAAGTTTTGCATGGTCGTGGAAAGACTTTTTCAAAGTTTTTCATGGTCGTCTAGACGTCCTCCGACTGTGGCGTTATAGTTGGGTCAAAGATGAAGCACACTGGTGATCACCATAGTCCCATATAAAAATAAGTAAGTAAATAAACAAATAAATCTATGAATGAATGAATAAATATAAATATAAATATAAATACAAATATAATAATATAATAATATCTATATCTTAGTCTAATCTAATTGTGAGGGGATTCAGTTCCAGACGGATCGATATAAAGATCCATTTTTATCTAGTGTGATTTCCATGGTGACTCCGACATGGTGCCATGAAGCCATTTGAGGCATCCCTTTGTAGGGAGAATGAGGACAGTTTGACGGAGAGTGAGCCCAATAGGAGCTCTTAGGGTGATGATGGCATTTGGCACGCCCGCAGTCACAAGACATTTCCCTTTTACCTCCAGTGAGGGGTGCTCAAGGGGTTCTCAGTCAACCAGCCAGTCAGTCAGTCAATGTCCCACTGAGGGGCCCAGGCCCTCAGACCCCAGACCATTTCCAGACCCCAGATCAAAGGAAAATTCTTTAACTGTGTCCAGAGTTGGACTTGAGGTGCAAACAAGTGATCTGACCATCATGCTTTTACGTTCGCTGCCACATGATGTTCGTTCGTACACCACGTTACATGCAGCAGGTGATGCATACACCGACCTTCGCACTGCTGCGTTGCGTTTTGAGACGCAGCAACGCATGTTTGCTGAGTTGAGTGGCCCATCTTCATCAGGTGCACGAGGTGTGCATGCACTTGAAAGTGCTGAGACCGCTGAAGAGTGGTGGGGATACGATCAGGAAGGTTATGACAACTCTGAGTATGCCCAGGAAGAAGATCCTGATGATCAATGGGAATGGGACGAAGATGCACAGGTTTGGATCAGTGCTACTGTTGCCAAAGGAAAGGGAAGTCCCAAGAGCACGATGAAGTGTCATCTGTGTGGGAGGCGAGGCCACATGGCCAAGCAATGCAAGGCCGATCTGAGCAAGGTGAAGTGTTTTCATTGCTCGAAGTTTGGTCACATTGGGGCACAATGCCCTGACAAGCCCAAAGGTGACAAGGGAAAGCAGCAAAAGAAGCCCCAGCCGAAAGCTGGAAAGAGCAAAGGTAAGGGAAAGATGCACGAGTTGGCAGAGGAGAATGGGCAGGAAGCTGCTCCAGCACAAGGTGAGGTGCTGATGCCATTGATTTCTTCAGTTGAACATTCGGGTGATGAGTGGCGATGGTGGTTGATTGACAGTGGAGCAGCTGTCTCAGTGTTGTCTGAGCAGTTCAAGGCCTACTACAAGTGCAGCGCAGAAGAGCAGGTGATGGACACCTACTATGCAGCCAATGGGTCTGCAGTCACCATGAGAGGTGAAGTTCAGGTGACAGTTGCGTTTGAGACGGGATCTGGTTCCAAGAAGTCTCAGAACTTTCGTTTGAAGTGCTGCGTAGGCTCCACCAGCCACAACATTGTGAGCACAACCCAGCTTGTGAAGCGTGGATGGACAGTTGTTCAGTCGCCAGGTGAAACCTATCTTTGGCATGAAGAGTCGAATACCGTGATTACTGATGTGGTGTTGTGGGGAGGATGTCCCTGGCTGAGAGCCAAGAAGACAACATCTCAGGTTCCTGCTGTGAAGGATACCTACATGCCGATGGAAGTTGATGTGCCAATGGAGTCAGTGAGGACCGGGCAAGGCTTGACTGTTGGTATGGTAGGTGCGGTTGAGTTGTCAACCCAGGAGAGACTGCGTCAACACATCTTGAGAGGCCATTATCCGTATGACCCTCATTGTTTGGAATGTCAACAGGGCCGTGGTGTTTCCAGAGCACCCAGGCGAGAT